AGACCAGAAGAACTAGATGGTGCCTGGCTACCACCAATGACTGCCCTGACAGGGAACACAACAGAGAGTCCCTGATGGAGCAGGAGAAAGGTGGGTTGAAGACCTCAAATTCCAGTAAGAAGACCAGACTTAATGGTCTGACTGAGACTGGAAGAACCCCAGAAAGCATTTCCCCTGGATTCTCTATCAGACCAGAACTAAAACAATTTCAGAGGCTAACTCTTCAGACAGGGATCTGACTGGACTGTGGGACATAATGTGATACTTGTGAGGATTGTGCCTCTTAGCTCAAGTAGATACAAGAGACTAAATGGGCAGCTTCTGTCCAGAGGTAAGATAGGAAGGCAAAGAGGCTTAGGAGCTGGTTGAGTGGACAAGGGGAATCAGGGGTGGAAAGGAGGAGTGTGCTATAACAGTACGAGGAGAGCAATTAGAGTCACATAACAATGTATGTATAAATTTTTGTACGGAAAAAATGTAAAAAAAAAAAAGCAGTGAAAGAAAGGAAAAGATTTTAAAAAAGTAGAGGCTTATATATGTCAGCACACACAATAATCAAAATTGTAAAGCAAATTAACAATTAGTTTTAAATTGCCCCATATGCAACTGAGAGGTAGTTAATAGCCTTAATATATAAAGAGCTCTTATAAATCATTAAGAAATAGACAAATATCACAATAGAAAATGAGCAAAGAACTTGAAAAAGACTTTCAAAAAAAAAAGAAATATAAAAATTCAATAAATATATTAAAACTAACAAATAAGTAAATGCAAATGTAAATAGCAATTTTTTTTTTACTTGTCAAATTGGTAGATTTTTTTAAATTAAGGATAATACATAGCGTTAGGGAGACTGTTGTGAAACTCTCATTCCCAACATTGCTGTTTGCAGTGAAAAATAGTATCCTGGAGGGAAATAATTCTTGCTCACTAACTCTTATTATTTCCTTTTATCTCCCTTGGGACTTGAGAGGTGAGAGAAAGAAAAAAAGGAGATTTAAGTGTGGAAAAGAAGGTGGGAGGCTGGGAGTGATGCACATCTTCCCACTAATCACCTGAATAAAGACCCATTGTACCACTGCCTTCCTTGGCCATTTGCAGCATCATTTATGACATTATGACAGACTCTGCCCTTAATTTTACTGCTGACCCCTCCACATGTCAAAACTATTCCTTCTAACAAATGTTAGAGAATCTCGAGAGAGTGCCCACATGACTAAAGAAGCTCAACCTGGAATGATTTGGGAGATCTTGGAAACCCCCTCTTTTTTCATTCTAAATATGCAATGACACTTTTTATTCTTTAGAACGTGAATTTATCCAGTACAAAGCTGGCACTCCTGCAGAGAAAGCTACAATCTGGTGCAATGTATGAGGTTAAAGTCCGATCGATTCCTGACGGAAACTATTTTGAAGGTTACTGGAGTGCATGGAGTCCAAGTTACCACTTCAGAACTCCAGAAACCAATGGCACAGGTGAGGAGTAACTATACAGTCTTTGTCCCACACCTCCCCCCACCCCATAATGCTTTGCATGTGAAAGTGTGTGAGCAAGAGTGAGAGAGATGTAACTAATCTGCAAGTTAGGACTTCCACAGGGAGCATTCTTACAATTTGGAGAATGACCTGTCATCTTTATCCATTTTGTGAAGAATAAGGGAACAGTGGATGAAAGTTTATTAGTAGCTGATTAACTGGTTCAGGCTGTCTGGATGCTGCTGTCCTGGGTATTTCTGATAGTTGCTAATAATTCTGAACAAAATCTCCACCCACTACTTCCAATCTACCAATTTATGCTGAGATCCAAATGTCTGGTTTCTCTAAGGCTCCTCAAGAGGATGCTTTTATTGCTGTGATGGATAGGCAGGCTGGTGTGGCTGTTCCGTGACTTCTTTTCCAGAATAATTAATATTTCCTATGGATCTAGACTGGAGTCCTGGTGGCACAGTTGTTAAGTGCTCAGCCGTTCCTTGGGAGAAAGATGTGGCAGTCTGCTTCCATAAAGATTACAGCCTTGGAAACCCTGTGGGGCAGTTCTACTCTGTCCTGCAGGGTCGCTATGAGTCAGAGTCGACCCAACGGCAACAGGTTTGGGTATTGTTTTGTTTTGTTTTTAACGGATCTAGAAAGTGAGAGTGGCCAGAAGATCCTGAGAATATGGCTCAGGCAGGCCCTTGGGGACTTGAAGCACCCAAATATACCTTCCCTTTGGGGGATGAAGGAGGAAAGTTTTCTATGATACCCACCTTCCATCATCACCCTAGAAATTGCCAAGACTGCCAGGTACAACATTTATCTCAACATCCCTCATTCTGGCTTCTTTCCCTTGGTGTGGACACATTGGTGGTGGGACTGAGAGAGGCAGTGATGGTACCTTTGAGGCTAGATCTCTTTTACATTTCAAGTTGAAGATGTTCTCAGCCTCACCAAGTCAGTGCCACTTACTGAAATAAAAATTCCCCAGTAATGCTAGCAAATCATACTGCTTACTGAAGAATAACTTTCAAGAAATAATAAACAGGCACAATTCACTAAATAAACTCAATGCATCCTTGATGTCTACCCCACTACCTGCTTAATGATTGGTAACCAAGATCTATCCTTGTCTTGCAGGGAAGATGGATCCTGTTTTGCAAACGGTCAGCATTCTGAGTTTCTTCTCTGTGGCCCTGTTGGTCATCTTGACCTGTGTGTTATGGAAAAAAAGGTGACTTTTTTTCAACTAATCAAGAGGGCAATTGTGTGGAATCCCAGACAGTCATAACTTTAACTGCATTTATTGATGAGAAAACAGCAAAGGAGGATAAGGCATTTCCAGAATTACAGTGCTCAATATCTCTCCCCATCCTCAGGCCTCAGTGAATTTCCACAGTAAATTTCTTAAGAGGTAAAAAATATATAAACTGGACATAGGGCAAATTCTTCCCCCCAAAAGAGAATTCTTTAAGGCAGTGTTTCCCAAACTTTTCCTCCAAAGTCTCCTAAAGGGGAAAGTGAGTAGAAGCCATGTCATCGAGTGCCTGGGCAGGTGGGACACCCATGGCCAATGCAACATGTGTTTGAAGTCCTGACTTTGAGCACACAAATTCATGAGACTTTTGCATTCTTCTCCATGATGAGGCCATGTTTGTTTCATCATTAAAAAAAAAAAAAAAATGATGTTTTAAACATGCACGCGTTAAGTTACTTAATGTTCTGAAAGATGCCCTCAGCACAGGACCACATATCCCCAGGATTAGCAATACACCAATTTGAGAAGCAGCACCTTAGAGCAATTTCCCCGGGTAACTTAAAAAAGATCTCTCAGACCAGGAATCAAAGTACTTCCAGCAAAATTAGGGCGGAGGAGTTGCCGCCAATAAAGAGAAGAAATAAGACAACAACACCTCTAGTAGAAGTAGAGGACAAGGTCAAATTTTAGTCCCATAGCTACACCAAAACTATCTCATTACCAAGCTTCGTTGCTCCTTCTTTCCAGAGCTCTTTCCCAGTGGTGTACCGTTGTTATGTCTTGTTCACAGAGTAGATCAGTGACAATGATCTTCTGGACTTGAGACCCAGAGAAAGCAAGTCACTTTGTGTAAGGTTACCCACCTAGTTGTCACAGAGCCAAGATCAGAAATCCCGTCTTCTTATGCCTGGCTCATAATAAATGGAAAGAACTACTGTGCCTGCTTCCTCTGCCATTCATTCATCTAAAAATGTCCTCTTATTTCAGAATTAAGCCTATTGTATGGCCCAATCTCCCTGATCACAAGAAGACTCTGGAACAACTGTGTAAGAAACCAAAAAAGGTGAGTGCTTCTGATGCTTCTGTTACTATGTTGTAGGTAGGCCAGGAGCCACCAATGACATTCCAGGATAAGAAACAGTTGAACTTCAATTTTTGGTCCTTTTTGAATTCTATAACTAGAGTCCTTTGTAAGATCCTGGCTGCAGCTCCCTAGAGGTATGGCACTAAAATGAGATGCAAGTCTCAGAACTTCCCAGGCTTCTCAAGGTCAGAAGGCACAGCCAGTGGTCAGTTCAAACTCTGGCATGTTATAGCACCTCCAGAAACAGAGTCAACTGAGGAACATGTGAGTCATCCTATGACATTCCTTGGTGAACCCCTGTCAGAAAGTTCTTTAGACTTCTCCCTGAACTGAATGTTTAGCAGTATGTCTCTTTGGTGCAGTCTTCATGCCTTGTCTCTTTTTCCATGCAGAACTTGAATGTGAGTTTCAATCCTGAAAGCTTCCTGGACTGTCAGATTCATAAGGTGGATGGCATTCAAGCCAGAGATGAAGTGGAAAACTTTCTGCAAGGCACTTTTCCTCCACCACTTGAGGAGTCTGAGAAGCAGAAGCTTGTAGGAGGTGTGCAGGGCACCAGCTGGCCCTCCGAGCATGCAGTCCTCACGCCTGAAACTTTCAGGGGAGATTCACCCCTCAGATGCCTGCCTGGGAATGTCAGAGCTTGTAATATCCATGAGCTCCCCTCTTCCAGATCCCCAAACTGCAGAGATGATGGCAAAAATTGGTCCCGTGTGTACCAGGGTCTGCTGCTTAGCCCTGGAACTACAAACGGTGCTCTGCTGCCTCCATTTCCTTTCCAATCAGAAATTGTTACATTGAACCCAGTTCCCCAGGGACAGCCCATCCTCACTTCTCTGGGATCAAGTCAAGAAGAAGCATACGTCACCATGTCTAGCTTCTCCAAAATCAGTGAACTGTAAGAAACCCAGGACTGGAACCGTTATAAAAAGATGACAAAGACGGCTAAGGGGGATATCGAGATCTCCGACTCTCCCCTGCAATACAAACAGGACAAAATTAACCCACCCCACCTGCATGATCTAAAGGATTCTGAAACTTCTGAAACTTTGCTTTGGCCACTCCCTGGCTCAGGGGCATCCCACATGAGATAAGAGCATCTTGCCTCTACCATGCTGATCTGATCACAAAGTTTCAGGCCACCCAAATGATGTAACTGTATTATTTAAGAATGAAAAAAAAAAAGAAAGAATGAGAGAAAGGGTAGAAGAAAGGATGGAGAGGAATGGAGACAGGAAGGGAGCCAGGGAAGAAAGAAGGAAGGTAGAATAAGAATAATAGTTACCACTGTCAGGGCTTACCATATACCCAATGCTGTACCCAGTGCTCTACACATCTTGTCTCACATCACCCTCACAACAATCCTGGGAGGTGAGTGCAATTATTATTATCCTTCTCTTTCTTGTGGATGATGAAATGAGGCTCAAAGGGATGAAAGTAACTTGTCTAAGTTGCCAACTCAGCAAGAGGTGGAGCCAAGATTGGATGTCCAGGGGTCTGAGTGCAGCCTCCCCCGAGTCATGTTCCTTCCACTTATCTAGGGTTGGTTCTCAACCCCCCCTCAGAATAGGGTGACTAAATGGTTAATTGTCCAAATCAGGTCACTTTTGAAAGTGAAAGGGGAAGCTACAAATAATTACTCCAGGACAAGCATGAACCAGGACTGTCCCAGACAAATGGGGACATATGGTCACCCAAACAAATATGGCTAAGAGAAAAAAGTAGAGAGAAATGTTTACATGGTATGCGAAGTGCCGTGGCCAGCCACGTCCGCAGAAGGTGAAGAAGCCAAGGAAAAGCTACAAAGCCCATTTCATTTTGTTTCTCAGAAACAATGCTCAATGGAGACTAAATTAGAAGCCCAGAATTTCCACTGTTCATTATCAAGACCTTAATTGTCTTGCTGCCACCCCTCAAGTCTGCATCCATTGATGACCTTGGAAGAACCTGTTGCTGACCCAGGCAATGGTCCATGTGAGCAATGAGCCAGGGAATGGAGCCTGTTTTGTGTGCACTCCCTGCCCCAATCCAGAAGCGTCCACAAATTGTTCCACATTCTACAGCCTTGGACGTTCCACAAACTTCAGGGAGGACTTACAAGCATGCAGTGAGTGAACAGACTCTGACCATATTTTCGAAGACATAGAAAAGAGGCATATCAAATATTATTAACATTTGACATTTGTCCTCTTGCCTTTCTTGGTCTGGATGAATTTCTAATGACTATCTTCAACCAAGGGAGTCCCTGGGGGTATAAACAGTTAACAAGCTCAGCTGCCAATCAAAAGGTTGGGGGTTCAAGTCCACCCAGAAGCACCTCAGAAGAAAAGTTTGGTGATCTACTTCTGAAAAATCAGCCACTGAAAACCCTCTGAGGCACAGTTCTACTCTGACACACATGGGTCACCATGGAGTCGGAATCAACTCGATGGCAAATGGATTTTTATTGTCTTTTTGTTGTTGTTGTTGCTTTGTTTATATCTCCAACAAAGTCAAGGCAGCCAAGCAATCTCAAATAAAGGGCGGACAGCTAACTCCTCTCCCACAAGTGCCCCAAGCCTGGTTGTACACAGAACCACACAGACCAGAGGCAGTAGAGGGAAGTAAGGAAAGATATATATAGGTCTGGGGTTTTGTTGGAGGTTTGTTGTTTAATTTTTTGAATTTTTTCTTTGTTCTGTTTTTAGTGTTTGGGGGTAGTAATTTTTAATTTGTTTTGTTTAATTTTGTGATATCTGTAAAGGGAGTGTTAAATCATGGACTGATGGACCTTACCTGATGACTTAGAAGCCTAGTAATAATTAGACCATCTTATTCTTTGGTGGGCCTGAGTTAAGCACTCAGTAGCTAACAGAAAGATTGGAGGTTGGAACCCACCCAGCGGCTGTGCAGGAGAAAGCCCTGGCAATCTGCTCCCATAAAGATTACAGTCTTAAAAGCCGTATGGGACAGTCACACCCTGTCACGTGGGGTTGCTGTGAGTGAAAATCAACTCGACGGCACCTAACAACATTCATCGGTTGGATATTGTGCTTTCCAAAGTGCTTTACACTGCATTAGTGATAATGGATACAGTATTATAATCCCTTAGATTTGCTTAGTGCTTTTGCAGTTCTCAAAGCACTTTCATATGCATTATTTCCTTCATTTCCTTGACAAGCATTTATGGAAAGCCTGCTATATGCCGACCATAGTGTTAGGCACAGGGAATCTAAATGCAAATAAGATTGGGACCCTGCCCTCATAAAGTACAAATCTTGCAAAAAAGGCAGGTGTGTAAACAAATGATGCTACTCATATGGAATGCTATAATGGAGACGTGTTCAAAGCCCTCTGTTGGGGGACAGTCAGAGAGAAAGTGTCACAAAGTGACATAAATTTGCATGGAGGAAAAGTAGAGTCTGACTGGTGTGATCAGGTGGCAATGTTCTTTATATTTGGTAGCAATGGGAGTAAAGTCTCAAAGAGGAGGTCACATAAAACTCATGACCAAGCTGGATATTTGATCTTCACACAAGTCCTATGAAGTGTTTATTCCTATTTTGATCATAAGAAAATTGGAATACAGGGAGAGCAGGTAGGGTGCTCGGCCTCACCTGGTGAGTCAAGACTGGAAGCCATTAGTTTATATCCCTGACATAAATAGCTAATCTCTCAAAGATATGAGGAGATAAGTCTAGAGGAGCATCAAGGTCCCTCCAGCTCTAAAATTCTATGTTTTAGTGGTTTTTAAATCTAGGTTATCATTTCAATTTAGTGTGTGAGTGTCTATCTGTTATTGGCGGCATTTAAAAGCCATGTATTATATTCTTATAATAATAATTGCTGCTAACGCTTGATTATCTATCCAGGGACAATTATAATGGAAGGTTACTAATTGGTTCTGCCCAATCCTCCTTTGGATTTCATTAAGACAAATTCCTGGTCAGAGACAATGTATAAAATCAGAGATGTAAACTGCCAGTTCTTTTTAGCATGAAATGAAAGGAAAACTGAGGAATGGACAACTAATTGCACAACCATGCTTGGATCTAGAGTACTTGAACGTATTCTGATTGGTTTTCTACCAGATTTTGCCTCGCCCTTCAATCTGGTCTCCTTGGAAATCTGCAGCAGAAGTCAAGTATGGGCTTGTTTCGGATGTGCATACTTGAGTTTTCTTAGTTGTCCTGGAGGGGCTTCAAGACTCAGACCTGGCCGGGAAGGTGGTGAGGGGGTGTGGCAGGGCAACTGGAAATGATGCAGGTCAGATGGCGTTACCGCCAGCTCAGTGTTTTGTCTTGGGGGTCATTCTTAAAACTATCCATCATTCACTACAGTGAAAGGCTCTGATTTGACTGTGTACTTTCCCACATGCATTACAAACATTTTGCAGAGCTGCTAAGTATATAAGTATCCGATGTGTGTTACTATCTCATATTTAATTAAACGACATGGAACTCTGTGATTGTGCTTGTCCTCTGTGAGAACTACAAGTAGAGTGATACCCAAAGTAGGCCACAGCTCCTCGAAACTACTGGAAATATTCTGGTGTCATTTGTTATCATTTCAGGGGTTCGGATTCTCAGTGGAACATCTTTTAATAGATGAATCCATTAATTAGTTAACAATGATTTGTTGAGGATCTGCTATACGCTACTCTGACTGCTGTAGGCACTGGGGCTACAGAGATGACACGCCATCTTCCCAGCTCACAATCACATGGAGGACAAAGACAAGTAGTGGTTACAATATGATACCATTGCTTTAAGGCAGAGTATCTGTCAGGATTCTTAGCTTTAACAATAGAAACTAACGTGGGCTAATCTGAGCAGCAAAGGAATTTAATAAAGACTACTGGAGGACTCAGAATATTTGGGAGGGTCAAAGAATCAGTTTTAGAGGCCACAGAGTCATCCTGGATTTTTATTGCCACTAACACCTCCAGAAACTGAAAACAGCCACTCCAGTGCCAGCACTCAGCCCCAGTGTAGTCTCGACAGCATCCAGCTACTTCACATCACTGGCTGCTGGTTCAAAGTCAAGACTAGTGCCTGGGATTGATAGTTCCTAAGCCTAGTTCTTGTGCCTGGGCTCCAGCAATAGATACCAGGGAAGGGAATAGCTGGAGTTTTCTTCTTCTACAGGAAGAGGCAGGCTCTCGCTTAAAGAGTGAGGCATTCAGGTGCTGGGTGGGAAAAAACAGAATGACAGAAATTGGTGCAGGACACGGAGGAGAAGAGCTAAGAAGCGGGGAGGGGAAGGCAGCCTCATTTAGAATCGCAGGATAAGTCTGAGTGTGCCACGTAAGGAGCCATAGAGTTTTGGGAGTGCATTTCAGGCGGAGGAAACAGTATGTTTATAGTCGTGGAGGCATGAGAGAGTGAAGAACATTTGGGAACTTACAAATGCAGTAGTTGCTGCCCTTTTATCTGTTTCAGTTGGGAACAGAAGTTAGTTGGTGGTTACTCCAGAAAGCCAGTTAAAGGGAAGCTTTATTTTAAAAAATAATATATGTCTATCTTAAACATTTTGTTTTAATTTTAAAACATATGGCTATACATTCATTCACCACTCTTTTGCTACAAAGCCAAGACCTTCTTTTTGGGTATGAGGTCACTGATTATAGTTCCACATTGTCTTTCTCAAATAGCACACACTCATAATGCATCAGCAATCATTCTGGGCTTTCTTTCTTCAAAGTGGAAAAGAACTTTAACCACTTGCAAAGAAAGCTAAGTGGAGGCATCTAAATTTTTAAAGATTTCCCCCCAGTCTTTTAGTTACTTTTCCACCCCAATTGATAGCAATATTCCTCATCAGCATGCCTTTATCAGGTCTTTTCAAACCATTCAAGGTAGTTACCATTGATAAACAACTCTTTGCATACTCGCACCTCCCCAGCTTACATAATGTAATTACAGCAAGTATAAAATAAAAAAAAAAACACTTGCTGCTGCCAAGTCGATTCTGACCCTATAGGACAGGGTAGAACTGCCCCATAGGCTTTCCAAGGAGCAGATGGTAGATTCGAACTGCTAACCTTTTGGTTAGCAGCCATAGCTCTTAACCACTGCATCACCAGGGCTCCAACAAATATGGCTAGCCTAAATAAGTTTAGGAATGCAGGATTGACTTGGGGTGAGTTTCCATCTCATCTGGTAGGACTCGAAGTACAAGGGTATACTAGAGAACATCCTGCTAACAGCCAAGTTTCAGTGTGGG